CAATCCTCCTGCCTAGGCCTCCCAATGTGTGGGACTACAGCTGTGGGCCAGCACACCTGGCCGTTTTGCAGTTCTTATTGCCATTTGTTTATGGTGCCAGAAAGGCATTGTTAATTTTCCAGTTTTGAAACTACTTTGTGTTACTTGAGTGACACAAATCACTATGTAATACTGTAAGCCTTTGAACAACACAGGTTTGAACTGCAGGGGTCTACTTATAGGCAGATTTTCTCCCACCTCAGATAGCAAAGACCAATCTTTCTCCTCCTCCTTAGCCTACTCAAGTTCAAGACTATGATTAAGAGTTACATAATGATCCACTTGCATTAAATGAATAGCAAACTTACTTTTTCTTATGATTTTCTTAATAACAGTTTATTTCTCTAGCTTCCTTTATTGTAAGAATACAGCATATTAATACAGACACCACACCAAACACATCTTAATTGATTGTTTATGTTATCAATAAGCTGCTGGTCACCTTCTTGGGGGAGTCAAAAGTTATACACAAATTTCTGAATTGCAGAGGGGATCAAGCATCCCTAAATCCCATGTTATTAAGGGTCAACTTTGATTGATATTTATTTACTAAACACAAGCCATTTATTTTAAAAATTAAAGTTCCAATTTCATATCAAGTCTAATTCATTATAATGTGACCATAAAGAAAACATATAACTTACTAACTTAAAAATGCCTTTTAACCCTAAATGTAAATGGGCTAAATGCACCAATCAAAAGACACAGACTGACAAGTTGGATAAAAACCCAAAACCCATCAGTGTGCTGTATCCAGGAAACCCACCTCACATGCAAGGATACACAAAGGCTCAAAATAAAAGGATGGAGAAAGATTTACCAAGCAAATGAAGAGCAAAAAAAAAAAAAAAGCAGAAGTTGCAATTCTCGCCTCTGATAAAATAGACTTTAAAGCAACAAAGATCAAAAGAGACAAAGAAGGTCATTACATAATGGTAAAAGGATCAATACAACAAGAAGAGCTAATGATCCTAAATATATATGGACCCAATACAGGAGTACCCAGATACATAAGGCAAGTTCTTAAGGACTTACAAAGAGACTTAGACTCCCACACAATAATAGTGGGAGACTTTAACACTCCACTGTCAATATTAGACAAATCAACCAGACAGAAAATCAATAAGGATATCCAGGGCTTGAACTCAGACCTAGAGCAAGCAAACCTGATAGACATTTACAGAGCTCTCTACCCCAAATCCACAGAATATACATTCTTCTCAGCACCACATCACACCTACTCTAAATTGACCACATAATTGGAAGTAAAGCACTGCTCAGCAAATGCAAAACAACTGAAATCATAACAAACAGTCTCTCAGACCATAGTGCAATCAAGTTAGAACTCAGAATTCAGAAACTAACTCAAAAGCGCACAGCTTCATGGAAACTGAAAAACTGGCTCTTGAATGTTGACTCGATAAACGATGAAATGAAGGCAGAAATAAAGAAGTTATTTGAAACCAATGAGAACGAAGACACAATATACCAGAATCTCTGGGACACATTTAAAGCAGTCTCCAGAGGAAAATATATAGCCATAAATGCCCATATGAGAAGATTGGAGAGATTAAAAATTGACACCCTATCGTCAAAATTGAAAGAGCTAGAGGAGCAAGATCAAAAAAACTCAAAACCCAGCAGAAGACAAGAAATAACTAAGATCAGAGGTGAACTGAAGGAGATAGAGACACGAAAAACCCTTCAAAAAATCAATAAATCCAAGAGCTGTTTTTTTTAAAAGGTCAACAAAATAGACAGACCACTAGCCAAACTGATAAAAAAAAAAAGAAAACAACCAAATAGATGCAATAAAAAATGATAAAGAGGAAATCACCACAGACTCCACAGAAATTCAAACCATCATCAGAGAATATTACAAACAACTCTATGCACATAAACTAGTAAACCTGGAAGAAATGGATAAATTCCTGGACACCTGTGTCCTCCCAAGCCTAAACCAGGAGGAAGCCAAAACTATGAATAGACCAATAACAAGATCTGAAGTCGAGGCAGCAATTAAGAGCCTACCACACAAAAAAAGCCCAGGTCCAGACGGGTTCACAGCCGAATTCTACCAGACACACAAAGAGGAGCTGGTACAATTCCTTCTGAAACTATTCCAAATAATCCAAAAAGAGGGAATCCTTCCCAATTCATTTTATGAGACCAACATCATCCTGATACGAAAACCCGGCAGAGACTCAACAAGAAAAGAAAACTTCAGGCCAATATCCACGATGAACATAGATGCAAAAATCTTCAATAAAATACTGGCAAACCGATTGCAACAGCACATCAAAAAGCTTATCCATCATGATCAAGTAGGATTTATCCCGGGGATGCAAGGCTGGTTCAACATATGCGAGTCTGTAAAGGTAATTCACCACATAAACAGAACCAAAAACAAAAACCACATGATTATTTCAATTGACCCAGAGAAGGCATTTGACAAAATTCACCAGCCCTCTATGCTAAAAACTCTCAATAAACTTGGTATCGATGGAACGTATCTCAAAGTAATAAAAGCTATTTACAACAAACCAACAGCCAATATCATACTGAATGGGCAAAAACTGGAAGCATTCCCTTTGATATCTGGCACTAGACAAGGATGCCCTCTTTCACCACTCCTATTCAATATAGTACTGGAGCAATCAGGCAAGAAAAAGACATAAAGGGTATTCAAATGGAAAAGGTGAAAGCCAAATTGTCTCTATTTGCAGATGACATGATAGTATACCTAGAAGACCCCATTGCCTCAGCCCAAAAACTCCTGAAACTGATAAGCAACTTCAGCAAAGTCTCAGGATATAAAATCAATGTGCAAAAATCACAAGCATTCCTACACACCAACAACAGACTTAAAGAAAGCCCAATCAAGAACGAACTGCCATTCACAATTGCTACAAAAAGAATAAAATACCTAGGAATACAACTTACAAGGAACGTAAGGGACCTCTTCAAGAAAAACTACAAACCACTGCTTAATGACATAAGAGAGAACACAAACAGATGGAGAAACATTTCATGTTCATTGTTAGAAATAATCAATATCGTGAAAATGGCTATACTGCCCAAAGTAATTTACAGAATCAACGCTATCCCCATCAAGCTATCATTGACTTTCTTCACAGAACTGGAAAAAAACACCATGAAATTCATATGGAACCAAAAGAGAGCCCGCATAGCCATGTCAATTCTAAGCAAAAAGAACACAGCGGGGGCCATCACACTACTGGATTTCAAACTATACTACAAGGCTACAGTAATCAAAACAGCATGGTACTGGTACTAAAACAGAGATATAGACCAATAGAACAGAACAGAGGCCTCAGAGGCAACACAACATATCTACAACCATACAATCTTTGATAAACCTGACAAAAACAAGCAATGGGGAAAGGATTCCCTGTTTAATAAATGGTGTTGGGAAAACTGGCTAGCCATGTGCAGAAAGCAGAAACCAGACCCCTTCCTGACACCTCACACTAAAATTAACTCCAGATGGATTAAAGACTTAAACATAAGACCTGGCACCATAAAAACCCTAGAAGAAAATCTAGGCAAAACCATCCAGGACATAGGAGTAGGCAAGGACTTCATGACCTAAACACCAAAAGCATTGGCAACAAAAGCCAAAATAGACAAATGGGACCTAATGAAACTCCACAGCTTCTGCATGGCAAAAGAGACAGTCACTAGAGTGAATCAGCAACCAACATAATGGGAAAAAATTTTTGCAGTCTACCCATCTGACAAAGGGCTGATATCTAGAATTTACAAAGAACTCAAACAGATTTACAGGAAAAAACAAACAGGCCCATTCGAAAGTGGGCAAATGATATGAACAGACACTTTACAAAAGAAGACATACAAGAGACCAACAAACATATGAAAAAATGCTCATCATCACTGGTCATTAGAGAGATGCAAATCAAAACCACATTGAGATACCATCTCACGCCAGTTAGAATGGTGATCATTAAAAAATCTGGAGACAACACGTGCTGGAGAGGATGTGGAGAAATAGGAACACTTTTACACTGTTGGTGGGAGTGTAAACTAGTTGAACCATTGTGGAAGACAGTGTGGCAATTCCTCAAGGCCTTAGAAATAGAAATTCCATTTGACCCAGCAATCCCATTACTAGGTATATATCCAAAGGACTATAAATCGTTCTACCATAAAAACACATGCACACAAATGTTCATTGGAGCATTGTTTACAATAGCAAAGACCTGGAACCAACCCAAATGCCCATCGATGATAGATTGGACTGGGAAAATGTGGCACATATACACCATGGAATTTTATGCAGCAATCAAAAATGATGAGTTTGTGTCCTTTATAGGAACATGGATGAATCTGGAGAACATCATTCTCAGCAAACTGACACAAGAATAGAAAATGAAATACTGCATATTCTCACTCATAGGCGGGTGATGAAAAATGAGAACACATGGACACAGGGAAGGGAGTACTACACACTGGGGTCTACTGGGGGAACAGGGGAGGGCCAGCGATGGGTGGGAACTGGGGAGGGATAGCCTGGGGAGAAATGCCAAATGTGGGTGAAGGGGAGGAAGGCAGCAAAACACACTGCCATGTGTGTACCTATGCAACTATCTTGCATGTTCTGCACACGTACCCCCAAACCTAAAATGCCATGAAAAAAGTATCTTTTTCTTATTTATACAAAGATAGCATATAGGATTTTAGGAACCATAATTGAATATATTTTTTTTCAGACAAGATTTTTTGAGATAATAAATGACCTGCAATTAACTTTTTACATTATTGTGAAATCTAACCTACCAAGAAAGAAATTAAGAGAAAAATATACAAGCAACTTACACACACAGGGCTTTTAAAAAACTGCTTTTCATGATCAAAACTTCTTTACTCTTACTTTTTTATCTATAGGACCACCAAAAATAATTCACAGTCAGAAGTCTTACCTGGATTGTTATTTTGAGGAAGACTTTCAGGTGTCTGTTTTTCCTTATATTCAGAAATTAGTTGCTGAATGCTATGGATAAAAATGTAATAAATGAAATTACTATTTTAAAACAAATGAAAAATACCAAATATATTAAATTTTTAGAGTATTTCAAACAATATTAGGGTTAATATTAGAACTTTATCCTATATCCTAATTTGCGAGTTCTACCAACTTTTCTTTAAGCTTTTAATGAAGAAAACAGATGAAGTACTCCTAAATTGAAGGGAGTATAGCTCAGTATAAATTAACTCACATTCGCTTGACATAATGGAAAGTGTCCTAGCCCTATTATCAGCAGCTACTTGTTGTCTGACAAGTCGCTTCTCTTAGGCTCAATGTATTCTTCTAAAAAGCAAGGATTTTACTGGCTTATTTCACTAGGTTGTTAAAGATTTAATGAAATAATGTTTTGAAAATGCTCAAACAGTGAAGCAATAAAATAATTTGTTCTTGAACTTTATTGCCAAAACTATCTCCCAATGTGTATTTTTTCAGAGGTTCTAAAATTCCCATTGCAGTTTTCTGAAACTGTTATTAAGTCCTAGTTTTACTTATCAGTTGTTCCATTCTTTGTGGCTTATAATTCAGGGCATCACAACTATTTCATACTTTGTAACTAAATTTTCTAATAAATATATTATTTCAGCAAACTAGATAACTTCCCTGTCCACTATGACTGAACTCATCAACCACACTAAGGGCAGAAAGCTAACATGTCAAGACCTAGCTTGAACTACTGTTCCAGACTCAAACTCTGAATTGGCAGATCTTTGTTAGAATGATGCTCAATCCCATGTTAACCTCCAGCTGACACAGAAAACAAAATTCTACTTTTATTTTTTCAGTTCCCTGAAAGAGATGCAAGTTGACATTCTCTCATTTCTGAGATACATACTAACAATATATTTGCACACACATCCCACATGTTACTCAGCTCAATTCTCACTCCATAGATTACCTTACTGCATATTTTGTGGTAAAAATCACAATTTTAATATTAGGTTACACCCAATTTGCTTTGACTCACACTGTTTCTTTGGAGCTAGTCAGCAAATAGTCAAATGAACTTCCAGTGATGGTGCAAAATATGGACCACTTCACAGATCTGTGCATCATCCTTATGCAGGGGCCATACTAATTTTCTCTGCATTTTGTTTCAATTTTAGCATACGTTTGCTGGTGAAGCAAGTACAAAGCTCTCCTTTTCTACATGGATACTCGTGAGTCATGAATGAGGCTTAGCTTTGTTAAATCCAACTAACATACTTGAGACTCTGAATTCTGCTGATGGCTTCCTGATTCTGCTGATTGCCACAACTCTTGGGAAAAATAATATGGGACCTTCCACGATCTAAGAAAAGGTACTATACTGGATATACAGGGCCCTCAGCGTACAGATCTGGTATTAATGAAAAAAGGAAACTCATCTCTGCAACATTATTTGAACTGAACCAGAGGGCCTAAAGGATAACTTAACATAAAGGTCTTGGCTAAGTCTAAGCTAAGATGTTGGCTCCACCTAGGTTCTGAGTGAGGGGTGAAGGGTCGGTTGGCTCACTATGTGTGTGGATAATGCTAGGAGGCTCAGCTGCCAGAGCAGGATGCTGGGAACAATGCCTGAGCATATGTATGTAAAGCAAAAAAAGTTTAGCTTTGAAATCTATGTATGGATCACCATGAAGACTTGAGGGCATCCTGGTGGCAAAGGTCAACCATTACTGGACTGCAGGACCAGTTTCAGTGCAATGACACAGCAACAGAAACAACAGCAGAAACAACAGGATGATTACAGTGACCTTTTTCTTCCCTCCTTCTGACTTGAAAAAGAGGATTGTCTTCTGAAACTTAAAGAACCCCATAAATTCTGAAAAAATTCAAGGAAGAGGGTAGAGGAGACAGTTCCCAGAAGACAGTATAAAATTTTCTGCTAAACTGGACATTTCAAGACCCAAATACCTAATCAGAAAACCCTAAGCTGTGACACTATTTTTTATCTCATGCACAGGGGTTACACTTGGAATGAAATGGACAATGCTGGGATCCCTAAGGATAAAGGTCTTAAAAGTCCTGAGATAAAGAAGCCTGTACCCTTTGCTACTTTTAACTAGTTTGGCCTTTTGCTGGATTTCAGGCTAATGACATGGAATAATTCATTGCCACTCCAAAACTACCTGAACCAAACTATAAAATCTCACCTGATGTATACAATACAATCATTATAATTATTTTAAACCTCAGTTTGGTGTTAACTAGCCTTTTAATGTAAACACTTACCCAGTAAACTGATTTAAAACTGCATAGTCTTCTGCAGTCCTCCCAAATGTATCTTGAGAAAAGATGTCAATTTGTTGCTGCAGAAGAAGGCTAACTATGTTCGCTGATCCACACTGCACAGCGAGAATGAGCACTGTTCTAAAATGACAGAGCGATAACTTCTCCCTTAGGAACTGTAAAAAGCTATTTAAAAAGCGTATTCAATATACTTTACCAACTTAATAGCTTGCCCATCCGTGTAGAACTAAACATTTACTTGTACTAACAGACACCAGCATCTTGGGTGCTCAAGTGTTCATCTTTGTAAATTACCACCAAGGCTAAAAGGAAGGGACAAAGAGGAAGTCTCTTGTCCCAGTGGGGTATGTCATAGTACAAGTTACTAACTTTCAGTCCACTGATTAGCAAGAAACTATGCTGAGGTCACTTATCTAAAGTAGGCAAAGATTTAAGTGAAGATTTCACCACTGCTTCCCTAGACCAATATGCTGTAATTCAAAATCAGCCAGGGGTCAGATAAGTGAGAGCTATCTGCAGGCTGAAAAACAAAAATATCAATAACAATGGTAATATTAGTAGTCACAGTGGTTTCAGTTACTGATACTGATAAGCATGTGCTAGGCACTGAATTAAAGGCTACACACACCATCTTTCTTACATACACAACCCTGGAAGGATATATTCGTATCCTCTTTTTAATACAGAAAAACATATTTGGTGATGAGTAATGTTCCCAAGGTCACACACCTAGCAAATGGGAAAGCTAGAAATTTAAACTCAGTCTTGTGTGAATCTGAAGCTTAACTCTTTTCTCTTTATCATCCACCTATGAGTTGCCTTCGTGAAAGGAAAAGTTTATCCACCGAAACCTGTATTTTCTCCCTCTGCCCATGCCAATTTAAAAAACATCAAAATACATTAGAAGTGAAAAAGGAAACCCACATATCTGATTATGGCAATTCACAGTCATGTAGAGATAATCTAACATTAATATTTTTCAAAGAAATAAAGCAAAGAGTTATCCAAAAGGCAAAATTCTTTTTAACTCTATTCATGTTTATTTAACATAGCATGTTTAAAGAAAATCATGTAAGAAGGAGAAATTTTTTAATAAAAGGGTTAAGAAATTCAGTATCAAGTCGTAAAGTAAAAATTACAAAGTCCACACTCCATAAACTAATAAACTAATAGGAGACCTCTGTAGCTAATACAAGATTATATGACCCAAAACATCCAACTACAAATAACAAACACCAGTCAGTGTAAGAAGAGAAGATGAATCCCACTAGACACTGTTCATGTCGCCCAGTCCAAATAATTTTCCACCAGATGATTTGTGTTTATATTTTTTACTATATCCCAATAATTTTATTAATCTTTTTATTAATTTAATATTTCTGACTTGACTGTTTTCACTCCAGAACCACACTGAGCGTTAAAAAAAAAACCATACCTTTGACACTTATCAACTGCAAGTAAATTTGCTCCTCTCTCCAGTAAAAATTCTACCATTTGCTGTCTTTTTCCACTTACGGCAAATAGAAGTGGTGTGAGGTCATTCTGTAATACACCAACAACGATTTACAATTCACAAAATTCTTATTTCTCAATGGACTGGAAACCTTACATAAGATCCTATAGACATAAATGTATAACACAGAAAGTAAATTAAAAATAGCCTCTTCCTTCTCACTCTGTGTTTTCCCATGCGCTGCTCCTTCCCTTAGAGGCCACCTTCCTCTGCCTCACCACATCAACTCTAGTCATCTCCAAAACTCCCTTCAAATATTACTGGTTCCAAAAATCTTTGCTTCTATCACAGCATTTAGCATGGAATATCGTAACAGTGGTATTGCTTCCGATGTAAACCAAGAGCTTCTTGGAGGGCAGGCTCTTTATCGCTATATATGTCTCTGTATTTAGCTCCATATTTCCAATCCCTGAGACATACCAGTAAATGCTTCAAGTATTTTTACTAAATTAATGATCTAATGTATTTGCCTTTAGATCAGTGTTTCTTAAGCTACATTCCAAAATATTTACTTTACCAGAAGTTATAGACTGTATATCTTCCCAACAGGAAGATTCCATGATCATCTACATTTGGGAAATATTATTAAACAGCACATTATATATCCAGTATTCAAGAAATCTCTTGAATTTTGCCGAATTCCTATTTGGCAATACTTTCTTTGTGGCAAACAGTAACATTTGAGGATCTAGAATTTCGGGAATACTGTGGTGAGAGCTTTCCAGTAAAGGTGGGTGTTTCCTCCAGGTTACACAAACTTGCTTAATTCTCTTCTATCAGTGGTGTCAGGATCCCAGATGCCCAATGTCAGCGCCCAGTGTCAGGCCCTTCTACTACAAATGGGTCACTAAGAAAATGGTCTGTGAATTACAGAAATCAGCTTCAAATGAACTTCCATTGCTTATTACTAAAAGGCTCACGGGTTTTCTCCTACTACAAGAGGAGAGATTTTTATCTTAGATGTTAGAAAGCACAGTATAAAATTCTGTTTTTAATTATAATACTAAGACCCTAATGCACATCTACTGTTAAAATTCTTTGTTAATTTTGTTTCCATTTTTATTGCCTCTTAAAACTATCTTTCATTTTAGGCAAAATGTAAATCAGAAATACAAATACAATGGCTTATCAATAAAACTATCTAATACTGATCTATCTGGATTGTTTCTATAATAATGAAAGCCACTAAGTCACCTGCATTTCTATGAAACAATGCTGAGGAGAAAAATATAATTTTTTTTTGCAATATGAATAGCCAGCCACCTACAGTCAGGAATAACCCAAACAGGCTTACAGGCATGCTAATGGGAAGGTGACTCTTTGTGGTAGCTATAAGGCAAAAGATTTTTTTTTTTTTTGAGACGGAGTTTCGCTCTTGCTACCCAGGCTGGAGTGCGATGGCGCGATCTCAGCTCACTGCAACCTCCACCTCCTGGGTTCAGGCAATTCTCCTGCCTCAGCCTCCCGAGTAGCTGGGATTACAGGCATGCACCACCGTGCCCAGCTAATTGTTTTTGTATTATTTGGTAGAGACGGGGTTTCACCATGTTAACCGGGATGGTTTCGATCTCTTGACCTCGTGATCCACCCGTCTTGGCCTCCCAAAGTGCTGGAATTACAGGCTTGAGCCACCGCACCGGGCCGGCAAAAGAGTTTTTAAAAAACAACTTCCAAACCCTAAAGTTCAACCCCCTTACTAAGGGATATCTATAAAATTTAGGCTATATTTTATAAACAAATATAAACTGTTTTGAAAAACTTCAAATCTTTATCAAAATATGCCATGAAAGGAGCTGTAAACTCAAATCTTACCAATGCAAAGGAAGGGACCTGAGTGAAGTACCTAGGTGGGCGCAGCAGCAAACCAGAGAACATATACCTCATACGAAGGGGTAACCTAGTCGCAGCACACTGAACAGTGACATGGGCTCAAGGGACAACAGGCTTGATTCTTAAAGAGAAGCCTGAAATCCAGATCTGGGCATGAGTCTCCTAAATTTTACACATTGACACAATTTGTGGAGGCAAATTAAACATATCTGTGGGCCACATTTTGACTACAGCCCTTGTGTTTTTATACTTGTTATAGATGTGTTTCAAAATGGTTGTGTGTAAAGTATTTACTTGTAAAACATTTCCTTTAATTTCAGATGTTTTACCAAAACAAATCAGGCCCCAACATGTAATAAAAATTGCTATTAAAACTCACAGTTGCTCACACCTGCAAGTCCAGCACCCTGGGAGGCCAAGGCAAGAGGATCACCTGAGCCCAGGAGTCTGAGACCAGCCTGAGCAACACAGTGAGACCCTGTTTCTTCAGAATTAAAAAAAAAAATGCTCACAGGCTCAAAACACTCACACTTCAAGAATTTTTCCAATACTTATTCAATTAAATTCTACTTGTGTTTATTTTTCCCAGCTTGTTAACCAAATGGATAATTAGTCCACATGACTGCCGAAACTAAATTGTTAAAAGAATCAATATTTGTACTCTTACTAATTTCAGGGTTTTCAGTGCTTAAAACTGCCATCTTGATTATTTCAAACTCTGTGAACTTAACAGAGATACTGAGGTAGTTCATAACAGAGCTTCAGCGAAAAAAAAAGGCTAAGTGTTTGCCAGCTCTAATCGAGAAAACTGCTTGTAATAAAGATTAAGCTGCTTGTAATAAACAATAATCACCTGGATGGTAAAAAAGACAGAAAATCCTAAAGGAGTCAGCCTCTGCTTACTGAAGGGCTATGAGGTTGAAAGGAAAAGGTATTCTGGAAGCTGAGAGATATTACCAATAACATTCCTTTTAACTTCCCAACCCAGAGGTAAAGAAAGATAAAAGTCAGGATAATAGTATTGAAAAGAGACAGATTTAAAGGAAGTAGCACCTATCAAACTCCAACTCCTCTAGAGATTTCTTACATTTCTGAGAATGGTCATTTACATATTACACCTACCTATTCACTGGCTCTTAACCAGGACTGTATCTGAAGTTTTAGGAATTTACTGCTGTTGTTAGAGACAGGGTCTCACTATGTTGCCCAGGCTAGACTCAAACTCTGGGGCTCAAGCAATCCTCCCAATTCAGTCTCCCAACTAGCAGGGACTTCAGCCAAGTACCACTATGCCTGGCATCAAGGAAATATTTTAAAACATAAACTTGTTCAGGCTTTATTAGACTTATTATATCAAAAGTATTCAGGGAAGAGCTTAGACTTGTAGATTTGTTTTCATTTCCTCAGGTTGCTGTGATGCACAACTCTAGCTGAGAACTAGAACAACAATTACTTCAGTCTCATCTCTCACCCACGTGACCAGTTCCCTTTAACATTTGAGGATTTTGTCAAAAAGAGGAAAGAATAAGAGACAGTCATTTGCTAAAAACTCCATTTAGTTTTCCTGGGTAGGAGTAGCACAGGGACTAGTAAACTCAAAATCCAACTTGATTTTGCTATTTCTAAACTCCGCCTCGCCCACCTTCCCATCAGAGTGTTCTAGATTTGAGGGCTGAGTGCAGACCCTTATCTAAGTGGCTGTTTCCTACTCATCACCACCTAGTCGCAGCTAATCTTGTTTCCTCAGAGTCCTCCTAAATTGGATTCCTAGGCAAGTTCACAACTCACTCTCTTCCAAACTGAAAACGATGATCCGATTATCCCCAAAACTGAAGAAAACCTTGTCTAAACATATAAACTAGAAAAAAGAAATAGTAATAACAACAAAACACATTTAAAAAAAGGTCACCTTGGTATTTTTCCCTCAATTACCTAACCTTCAAGCTGGCCTCCATATTTCTAGCTGCTTTTTTTGCCCTTTCCATTTTGCCCTCCTAAGCTTTGCCACTAAGAGCTAAACTGCTTGAATGTGTGTTATTTAAGAACTTGTTTTTTCTTGGAGTTTTAAGATGAAGTCTATTTCCAGGGCAAATTTTGCTTTCTTGTGTTGTTTTTCCTTAGAAAAAAAAATTGGGAAGAAAAAACAATTTTTAAGTATTAACTTTGACAAATTCAGTGTTTTCAAAAATATTTACCATATGTGCATAAAAGAAAGCTGTGCCCTCTAATGCTGCTTTAAAAGTATCAAGATTTGAAATATTAGGTAATTATTTCAAAATATTCTTATTCAGGGGGTTCTTGAGCTTCCAAATATGGAAAACTGACAGTTACATATGTCAGTGTTAAATGCATTTCAAATAGTTTGAAAATAAAGTTGGTTGGTCAATACCTCATTTTTTGCCTCCTTGTTTGTACTGTATGAAAGCAGTTTTTCTGCTAGTGATTCGTCTTCATTATGCACAGCATAGTGCAGAGCGGTGTTGCCGTAGATATCGGGAAGGTCTGGATCAGCACCCCCGTCCAGCAAAATAGTTGCACATTCCTCTTTTCTGCATTGTACGGCCTGTCATTATTAGACCAAGAAATAGATTACAAATGCTAGGAATTCAAAATAGAGGTTTTGCTAATGAGTTACATTTAAATGAGATGAATTCATTTTTGTTCTGTTGAGAAATGTAAAGTTTATGAATACTGATTAATGCTAAGTGTATGATAGAATATATTGTTTGCTAGGAAGAACAATGGCAAGGAAAACCTAGCAGCTCCACCCCCCCACCACAGAAAACCACTTGGTGCATTCCAAAGTGGCAGGACAATATGTAAATATCATACACCTGTTAAAACTATTCTTTAAGCTATCTGACCCTGCCCCAGTGGCTCCCTCATGAAGAATACATTTTAGGTTGTTTGATCAGTGTAAGTGGGCACCAGCTGCCTACTTGGTGTTTTGTGTTATGAGAAAATACTGAACACCTGTTTGTTAATAATGATCACCTGTTCAGAGAGATTAACTGCATGGGTCAGAGTCTACCTGGGGCCTTCAGCCTGGAATGCTGTCAGCCCTGAGCCTCTCAGTTTGGAAGGCTGCTGGCCCCCCGATTGACCCACTTTGCTGTTCTATCTGGGTGTCTGCCTCTCATTTTCTTCAGTGCTGCCTGGGTGGGAGTCTCTATGGCCGAGCTTGCTCTCAGTCATTCTACTACGTAATCAGAGCCATCTCATGCTGAAATACTTGGTTACTATATACCTTTATCAGAGCTGTCCTCTTATTGCTGTCAAAACAATTAAGTTGACATTTTCTGTCCACCAGGAGAGCTACCACTGCTGGATGTCCACTGGTGCATGCCAAATGCAGAGCCGTCCTATGACAGTAAGAAGACTTTTTAGGAAGTTGTATTGTACTATCTGAAAACACACAATGATTCACATATATCCATAGCACTGGATAGAATGTTAGTCCTCTGTCTTTAAAACAAGTATTTAATTTTCCTGAGAAGAAAGCACAGTATTTACCAGCTCTTATTTACTACATTAATGAAATGTAGCTTATTTGAAAAGACAATGCTTCGTCTCTGCTCACGCCTGTAATCCCAGCACTTTGGGAGGCTGAGGCGGGTGGATCACGAGGTCAAGAGATTGAGACCATTCTGGTCAACATGGTGAAACCCCATCTCTATTAAAAATACAAAAAATTAGCTGGGCATGGTGGTGCGTGCCTGTAGCCCCAGCTACTCAGGAGACTGAGGCAGGAGAATTGCCTGAACCCAGGAGGTGGAGGTTGCGGTGAGCCGAGATTGTGCCATTCCACTCCAGCCTGGGTAACAAGAGTGAAACTCTGTGTCAAAAAAAAAAAAAAAAAGGAAAAAAAAAATTAAAAAACAAAAAATGCTTCGCCTCTGGATTCAGTTCACCTTGAAGTGAAATCCTACTGTAAGATCTGTCACTTCTTGTTTCTCCATGTTGACCAGGATGGTCTCGATCTCTTGACCTCGTGATCTGCCCGCCTCGGCCTCCCAAAGTGCTGGGATTACAGGCGTGAGCCACCGCGCCCGGCCTGCAACACTTTTGCAATAGAAATAACCATTTATATTTGCTCCTGGCTCACGGAGAGGCCTGGGCCCCCGACCCTTCCGAGGTTTCTCCATCCGGGGTACCGTGGAACCTGTGAGCACCAGAAAGCCCGGGTCCCCGACAGGACGGCGCGCCCGCCTCCTTCGCCTGGCCATTACCTATTCTCACTGTCCCTCTCGTTCAAGCCAGGGCCTCCGGGCACCAGGACGCGCTCCAGCCCGGGGACGTCGCCCAGCCAGGCAGCTCTGTGGAGCTCCCCGAGATCTTCCAGGTGGACGTGATACTGAGGCGGGGGGAGGATGAAGTACCAAATCGGGTTGAAGGCGTCCGCTGCACCCTCGCTTCCGCTGTCCGAGCTGTCGGGCGGGCTCCAAACTCTGTATCTCCTCCTCATGGCGGAGACTGCCGCCTTCGGAGACCCCCTCAGCCCCTCCGCGCACCTCCCTGCTTTTCTCCACCTCAGGAGGCCAACAGTAGGAGTTACTGCCTTGGCCACAACCTCCCAGGAGGAAAGTCTGAGGTTTCCAATCACTGAAAGGACTACGGCCGAGCCAAGTAAAAAACGTCAAGCCAAGCAACCACCGCCAAGCCAAGCGATCACCTCGAAGCCTCACGGACAACGAACGCCAAGCCACGCGGGTAACGCCAAGCCACGCGGGTAACGGCCAGGCCCTCGCGTGTGACGTCATCGCACTTGCTCATGCTCCTGTGACGTCACTGCACCTGCGCACACCTTACTGGTGCCCCACACATTCCGGCCTGCTTCCTGCTTTCCCCGACACCCGGAGAAAACTCCTTGGCCTACAGGTGGCGCTGCAGCTCCGGCGCCGGCCTGGGCTGGCGGGTCCTTCCGGGTGGCGCCGTCCAGCCTGCCTGTCATCAGGGAGTGCCGCCTCACAGCGCCGCCGAGCACCTGCTCCTCGGCTTGCTCAGGTCAGGCGTGCGGACCGGTTCCCGCCCCTGTGCCGCCATCGCTTGGCCGCCCCGGGCTAGCCACCGCAGCGGAGTTGCCCCAGAGTCATCGCTGCCAGGACACAAGCCGAGTCAGGCGGCTGGGTCAAAGCGAGCTGCCCGCCCCGCGGGAAGGGCCTACCCGACGCCACTGCCCGCCCAGCTCCTACTCGGCTGGTGCCTAAGCCAGGGGACCAGTTCTGGGCATCCCGCTGCCTGGGGATGGGGCCGAGCAGCGGCTCCCCGCTCTGAGCTGCAGCCACCGCGCGCATCCGCCCAGGGGCCGTGCGGCTGGCGACCCGGTTGGGTCGGGGAATGCCAGGTGCCGCTGGGGTGCTCGCCTCTAGTCCGCCCTGTCCCTGCAGCCCGCGAGCACTAGTGTCGGTCGGGCGCGGTGGCTCACGCCTGTAATCCCAGCACTTTGGGAGGTTGAGGTGGGTGGATCACGAGGCGAAACCCTGTCTCAACTAAAAATACCAGAAAAATTAACTGGGCATGGTGGCAGGTGCCTGTAATCCCAGCTACTCAGGAAGCTGAGGCAGGAGAATGGCTTGAACCAGGGAGGTAGAGGTTGCAGTGAGCTGAGATCATGCCATTGCACTCCAGACTGGGCGACAGTGAGACTCCATCTTATAAAATAATAAAATAAAACATTAAAATCTGTCCAAAAACGTGTGCCTTACTGGTGTCCCACATATTCCGGCCTGCTTCCTGGGTGATCTGGCGCCATGTGGAATGCTAATCCCGAGTTCGTCCCCCTCAGCACAGCCTCAGCCCATCTTCTGGGGAGAACTCGGCTACCAGGAACTTTCATCCACATATGGTTGACGCTCATCCAGTTCTCCTGCCAACCTCCTGAGCCAGGACAGGAGGCCCATGGGAAGTCTGCTTCGGCCTCTAGGCAGCACCACCCTGGGCTCGGGCTTGATCTGAACGGCCTCCAGAGGCTCAGCTGACCATGCTGTCTCATCCCTGGGGGCCAGTGAAAGGGCTTATGGCTTGGCTTGCCCAAAGAGGCTTCCACATATTTAAAGGCCAAAAGGGGACCCCTCCCCAACCAGGCAGCAGAAGTGCCTCCCCACTCCCCAAATGCCAGTTTTCACACTGGGCTTAACTACAGGAAGCAGGCTCTGCCGGCCCACACTCACCCTCGACCATGCAGACACCTGCCCCAGTCTCTCACAGGGTCCTCACCCTCATCAGCCCAACCCCTGCTGTAACAGAAGGGAGCTCTGCCAGGTGCAGGCTCCACACTCAGACAACAAACTACAGACCCGAGGACCTGCCCCACGTGGGTGCCACGGGGAAAGGACCTTGGGGGCTGGAGGAGGAACAGAGTGGCAGAGCCTGGAGTCTGAAGTCCCGGCTTCCAGCACTGTCAACACAAAGCCTCAGCCGCCCTTCCCAGCAAGCCCGGGGATCTGACCCACAGAGCAAGAGCACTTCCCTGGAGGGCCTCCCACTCTCTAACCTCTAGCTCTAACGGACCCCTGTCAGACAGACAGTCACAGCTGTGCTCTGCAGCCCCCCGAGGAGCGGGTGAGAGGACTTACTGGCCACGCAGAGCAGTGTGGAAGAGTCACATCGCAGCTGGAGCAGCAGCAGCCACGTGGGAGCTGCGTGAGAGCCGAGGCGAACGCTGCACAGGGGCTTTGGCCCACTCAGCTTCCCTCAGCCAGGAAGCCAGAAGGTGGGGACAGCAAGGACCCACAGCAGACAGGCACTCTCAAACAGACACACTCTGGCACAGCTGTGTGTGGCTTCCTCAGTTGCAGACTGGACCCACAGCAGGAGCTTAGGGGGCACTGGCAGCCCCGCTCTATCACCCAAGCTGCAACCCACACTTTCATGGGACAGGGAGCTGAGGTTTGGCCCAGGGCCACAATTCTGGGTGTCATCAGCAGATGCGGGAGGTGTGGGGGCAACATGAATCCAGCCTGCCATCTGTGTTATCCAGCTGAGTCTGTCTCATGGCCTGCCTCAGAACCTGCCCCCAGACAGCTCAGCCTATTGTCTTCGGGAGTGGCTGCCTCAGCATTGAGATGGGGTCCCCCTCCCATAGGAAGTGCCCCCCACCCAGCCAAAACTGGACTCCAGTAGGAGCCCATGCGCTCAAGGCCCTGGGATTTTGGAGGGCCAGGTGAGTGGAGAGACCCAGGGCACTGAGTGACATCACTGCGATTCCAACTTCGCTGCAATCATTCTCTTTAAAACCAGGACTGCAGCCTGATGCTGAAACTGATTTAACAGGGCTCTGAGTCACCAGGATAACAGAAGTAAAATTCTATAAATCTTCTAGCATTGAATGTAGCATACCTCTGATCCACCCCGGCATTCCAGAGAACACGCCGTTGACAGTTTGCAGCATATTTAAGGGCTGACTTCAGGATCTGTCAGATTCTGTACCGTGCAGCCAGTCTTTGACGTGGAAGGAAATCTCCTGCTCCCCAGGCTGCTGGGCATGCAGGGTGGCGCTGTGAAGCATGACTCCCCGCAGGGATGGCGCTGTTCTCCACAGACATGGTCCAGGATGGTGCCCACAAGCCACGTATGGTACGAAACCCTTCAAATGTCACCAGAACAACTGACAGCTGAATTTTAAGTTTTATTTAATTTAAGTTAAATTATAAAGACAGAGCATTCAAGTGTCTCTCACATGGATGTCTGCAGCCCCAGGGAGGGAACTCTGAAATGTTAGTGTGTAACACAGAATGGACAGTGGTGCTGACTTCATTGCAAGATAGAAATCCGGGTTATTTTGTGTCTCACTGAAAGCTTGTGGGCTAAGGTTTCGTGACGATCCGACAGCACTCCAAACACTTTCGCCTTGTCTGCTTTGGTCTGACAAAGTGCCCATGGCTACTACATCGATTGTTTAAGATCACGGTTGACCATTTTTTATCCTGTATGAAACAGAAGTTAAACAGCTGAAAAAGCAAAAATCCGGGTCTGATGGTTTTCTGCCAGGTCATGATGAACCCATCCTAATTCTGTTTAACCTCGTCCCAGGCGGGATCGAAGCCCGTGGCCCAGGCCTATCTCCCCGCGCCACTCAGAGCTCTGTGACTCTCCTCGCCTCAAAGCATTCTTCCTTCCAAGGACACTTGGGAGAGCCACAGGGGCCTCCTCTCCCAGCCGCAGAGCAGGTCCCTGGTAGGGCAGGGCTAGAACCCAGACCTCAGGTCCCTCAAGATTTCCAAGAGAAGACTGGAGTGTGAATTTCACGGTGCCTCAGGAAGCCAGGCAAAGCTGATGGCTGAATGCTGGAGAGGGAGCAGGGCCATTTCTGTACCTCTGCAGACTTCTAGAATGCTGACTCGCCCTGCATCCATCCCTGTATTTATCTAAGCGTCAGTGCCTCTGGTCATGAGACACAGAGGGGTCCGTAACGCCCGCCTGACGGTACCTGCTTTTCCCACAAACCCAAACTACATTGCCAAGGTCAGGGGCTGGGTTGGCTGAGTAACACACCTAGCACAAGGCTGGGGGTTTGGCAAATATACACATCACCGAAAGAGGTGAATGTCGTTTCCCAACTCACTGGATACAAATGCTCTCGGACCAACCTGAGGAACATTCTACAGCAAAAACTGGACTGTACTCTTCCAAACATCAATGTCATGAAAGACAAAGCAAGGCTGAGGACCTACTCCAAATCAGAAGAGGTTGCAGGGAACTCGCAGCAGGGCCTGGTCCTGGACGGGATCCTGGACCAGAACAATGGATTTCAAACTCGTTATAGGGACAGCTGGCAGATTTGAAACATGAGCTACAAACTCACAACTTTTGGAGTGATGGGAGAATACTACACATTTCCTTTTAAAATTTTATTTTAGTTGTATTTTTATCACAGGAGAAGGATTTAAGCTTATTTCCTGAATTTGAGAGCTGTACTATGGATACTGAGAGGACGCCCCTGCTCTTAGGAAATGTCCACTAACACCTTATGGGTAAACGTGGAATGACGTATGCAAATCACCCTTCCTGGTTGTTCATGTTCAGAGAAGACTGGAAGGGAAAGGGACAAGGGAGGAGAGGAGGGAACAAATGAAAGAAAAAAATGTGGCAAAATGTTCTTTGTTGTACTCTTGAAACTCCTGTAATTTTGAAATTTTTTCAAAATAAAGTTTTTTTGTTTGTTTTGAGACAGAGTCTCACTCTGTCACCCAGGCTGGAGTGCAATGGCACCATCTCAGCTCAATGAAACCTCCACCACCTGGTTCAAGTGACTCTCCTGCCTCAGCCTCCTGAGTAGCTGGAACTATAGGCACCTGCCACCATGCCTGTACTAATAATTTTGTATTTTTAGTAGAGACGGGGTTTCACCATGTTGGTCAGGCTGGTCTCGAACTGCTGCATGTGATCTACTCACGTTGACCTCCCAAAGTGCTGGGATTACAGGCATGAGCCACCATGCCTGGCCTAAAGTTTTTTTTTTTTTAATTAAAAAAGAAAAAAGCTTTTCTTCTTCCCCTTGACACCAAAAAGAATGAAGCGTTTAAAACATGGCCAGGTCCAGTTGTGTGCACGTACAGTCACAGTTACTGAGAGGCTCAAGCCACTTGGAAAAGCTGGATCCCAGGAGTTTGAGTCTAATAGACAACATAGTGGGACTCTGTCTCTTAAAAAAAAAGTTGCAAAATGTTCAGCGATGGAGGAGATGGGCCTGGTGCGAGGTGAAAGGGCAGCCTGCAGGCAGGCGTGGTGGCTCGTGCCTGTGATCCCAGCACTTTGGGAGGCTGAGGTGGGAGGATTGCTTGAGCTCAGGAGTTTGAGACCAGCCTGGGCAATATGGTGAAACCCTGTCTCTACTAAAAATTAGCCGGGCGTGGTGGTGAGCGCCTGTAGTCCCAGCTTCAGAAGGCTGAGGCAGGAGAATCTCTTGAACCTGGGAGGCGGAGGTTGCAGTAAGCCAAGATTGTGCCACCGCATTCCAGCCTGGATGACCGAGCAAGACTTCATCTCCAAAAAAAAAAAAAAGGAAAGGGCTGCCTGCTGTCTTCACCGAGGACATCCCATTGTGCCAGTGGACAGAGGCTGGCCACAGCCTTCAGAGGCAGAAGATGGTTCTATTCCCCCACTTTCCTTCTGAGTCTTAGGATGCCAGAAAGACTGACTCAGGAAGAGTAAGGACATTGCTGACAAGAGACCCTAGGGCTGCAGAGCAGTGGTGAGTGCCCGCTCAGTGCCAAGGCCTCACCTGCTAGTCCTCGCCTGAGCCTCTCAGCCACCTACAAGTTCAACCCTACTTCACAGATGAGGGGGATGCCGTCTCCAAGAGAGGCCACACAGCCAGTAAGGAGCACAGCTGAAACCCAAAAACAGGTGTTTCCTCCAGAATCAGGACTCTGAACCATCACAAACTCTCCTGCCTTCAGGTCTATTGGTGTGTTTTTGTTTTTGAGATGGAGTCCTGCCCTGTCGTCCAGGCTGGATTGCAATAGTGCGATCTTGGCTCAATGCAAACTCCATCTCCCGGGTTCAAGCAATTCTCCTGCCTCAGCCTCCCAAGTAGCTGGGACTACATGCACGCACCACCATATCCAGCTAATTTTTGTATTTTTAGTAGAGTTGGGGTTTCACCATGTTGGCCAGGCTGGTCTTGAACTCCTGACCTCAGGTGATTTGCCCATCTCGGCCTCCCAAAGTGCTGGGATTACAAGTGTGAGCCACCACATCTGGCCAGGTGGTGTATAAAGTTTAAAAAAGCAGAGACTTCATTCCACAAATACAGGCTGGGATCCCCACATTATTAGGTGCTGCGGACTGAACTGTAAACACCCTCCAAATTCATCTGTTGAAGCCCTAACCCCCAGTGTGGCTGTTCTTGGAGATACGGCTTTTAGGAAGTCATTAGGGGCTGGGCGTCGTGGCTCGTGCCTGTAATCCAGGCACTTTGGAGGCCAAGGCGGGCGGATCACCTGAGGTTGGGAGTTCAAGACCAGCCTGACCAACACAGTGAAACCTCGTCTTTAAAAAAAAAAGTAAGTCATTAGGTTGAGTGAGGTCATAATCCAGTAAGATTGGGGGCCTGACAAGGGCCACCTGCACACACCAAGGAAAGCCTAATTGAGCAAGACAAGCAAGAGGGTGCCCACCATGCTAGCAACCTGATTGTTGGCTTCTGGACCTCAGATCTGTGGGGGGCTGAGGGGTGATGGGACAGGGAGAGAGCAAGGAGTGGGCTCTCTTGTCCTTCATAACTGAGGGGCTGCGAGGTGAGGGCTGCACTGGGTGCGGGGACCAAGGCTCCTTTGAGGCTTGGCTGTCCTGCTGACAAGCCCCTACTTCTTTCCTGCTGTCTAGCCCACACTTCTGATGCTCCCTGGAGAGGAGGGCACAGGCCCTGACCACACACTGGCACTAGAAGGAGACTGGGGCACTTCCCCAGCTAAGCCCTTCATTTCACACACAGGGAAGCTGAGGCCCAGAGAGGTGAGGGGACTTGCTCAGTCCTTCCAACTGAGTACATGGTGCAGGAGTCCCCAGGGCCCCAGCCCCCACTGCCATCCTATGTGACTTTCCCCAACAGGCATTCTACCTGAGCTAAAGCTGCTGCCTGCCTTTCACAGGCCCTCTGACGGGAAGATGGCCACATCACAGGATTAAACACTACCACAAAAACCCGAGGGAGGGACAGGAAGGCAAGAATTCTTTTTTTTCTTTTTTGAGACGGAATCTCACTCTGTTGCCCAGGCTGGAGTACAACGGTGAAATCTCGGCTCACTGCAACCCCCGCCTCCAGGGTTCAAGTATTTCTCCTGTCTCAGCCTCCTGAGTAGCTGGGACTACAGGCATGAGCCACCATGTTCAGCTATTTTTTTTTGGTAGAGACAGGGATTCAGTATGTTGGCCACGCTGGTCTCTAACTCCTGAACTCAGGTGATCCGCCTGCCTCGGCCTCCCAAAGTGCTGGGATGACAAGTGTGAGTCACCGCGCTCGGCCCAAGAATTCTCTTCTGCCAATGGTGTAGGCCTCTCGACCTCACTAACCTACACTGGCCCAGAGGTGAGGGTGACAATTTAAAATAATACAAAGTCTCAACTATTTAAGAATCTGGTCATCCAGGGAGGGCTTCTGGAATTGCTCAAATGAACAGATAAGAATCCTGAGGCAGGTACTGACTGTGGTAGGTGAAACACCACCTCTATGCTAGTTTTATTTATAGCACAGCAAAATTCCACTTCAATGCCTCACAACTACTCAAAACAGGGTTTTTGAGGCAGCATATCCCTAGCCACTCCCAGGAACAGAGTTCTATGAAATGCTCAGTGTTTCATTTAAAAAAAAAAAGCTACAATATTTTTTTCTTCTAAGATTTATTTTGTAAACATTTAAGAAAAGTTCCTGGTATTTATTGTGGGCCTGGTTATGCAGTAACAATCCGCCTTATTGCAAGTGTGCAATTCTCGGTATCAAAAGCATTCTCTTCTCTTAGTTCATAAAAGAAAAAATTGGTTTAACTTCTAATTTACTTCCTGTTATTATAAGGTTTAAAAGCAATTACTGTACTTACCTATCAAACTTACTCGTGTAGCAACTAATTAACCTGGGAAGCCACGATTTGCTGTAGGCTTCACAGCAAGTTTTGACTTGAATCTAAAGTGCGTGTTAGCATCTCACTGTAACTAAATGCTTCAAGTGAGAAGTTTGAGGAATGCTGCTTTCGGCAAAAGAGCCACTGCGGGAGTGAGTTTTGCTCTGTTCACCTGCTCTGGACTACTGTCATGTTCCTCAGCAAGAGAACCACAGGCTAAGACCTGGCTCCACAGTCCTTCTTCGGGGCCCATCACCCACCTGCCAGCTTCCTCTGCTTCTATCGTGGGACAGAGGAATGCTTTTCTAAAAGATATTCTGGCCTATCTGCATGATTCCCTGGTCAATGTTGAAGCTGAGTAAGCTTCAGCTCTGACATGGTCAGATCATCAAAATCTGAAGTTTACTCAGGTCTATTTAATGAATTTTTTTTCTTATGCAAGCATATGTACCTCTGAATAATCTTCCCTTTTTTGAATCTGGGGGTTTCACCTAGATTTAGACTAGCCTGCAGACAATGATGCCAGAGCTGGGCTGGGTTACCACAATTCATTCATTTACCAAACACTTTCGAAGCAGTACTTCCTCTGGGCTGGCCTGATGCAAGGATACAGAGATAACACCATAAAGAAACCTGCTCATTAGGAGCTTGCTTACAGGCTAGAAAGGAACATAAAGCAAGAGAATAAAGCACCGTACGTACATAGAAACATAACTAGCCCGTCAGAGGGCCTCAGAGCCTCACAGGATGGAGCTGTTTGTGAGGCTGGAGGGTTTACAAATTCATTCCATCTTTACAAGACCTGCTGGATGCGAGGCGTGGTGGTAGGCAGTGGGGAAACCCCGGTGAACAAGCAGACATGGTCCCTGCCCTCACGGAGCTAGAAGTCTAGCAAAACAAGAATTACAGTCCACTGTAGAGGTGTGCTGGGTTGTGGGGTACAGTGAGTTGGCATTATACACACATTTCACTTAAACACAATGTTATCTGTCTGAAAAAGCTTTAAAAAAAGAAAAATAAGTTGTTTGGGCCATTCCACTGACCCCTCTTTCCCTCCATGAGCAGAGACAGGAGTGGGGCCCAGGCAAGCTCATGCCTTTGCTGCTCCTGTGGCCTGCCCCAGTTCCCATGCTCCCCAAAAGTGACCTTCTCGCCTAAATGTGGTTCTAACACCAAAATAAGTGATTTTTGCACAACACGGCCCTAACTACAGGGCAAGCACTTTACCTGGTACTCAACCACAGAAACAGTGATCTGTTCCCATATGGGCAAAATGATCATTTGGGACCTTAAGATGTTGGCCTTCAACATGGCACTCTCCATTGATTTCTAAGAGGAATTTTAATTACACTCCATTTTTATCTTAGGCATTGACCTTGTAACTGAATCCCAGAGAGAACCAAGACTCTTTGTGGCAGTACCATGGGACACACAGAAGTAGCCTACACCCTGGCTCTGGAAGTTGGGGATTGCCTCCTAGAAGGGCCCCTAAGATCTTGAGGGTGAGGGGAATGGCAAGACTGAGGCGGGAGGGGAGAGGCCTGGGGGAGTATGTGGCTGGAGGTGGAAACAACACTATGCACAGTCTGTGGGGCTAGTGAGGTCAAGATGCACGCAGGGAACTAGTGAGCAGAGGGCAGGGGAGGAGGCACAGGCCAGAAACACTGCCAGAGGATAGGCCTTGACGGGCTGTATGAAGAGCGATTTCACAAGGGTGGAATTTACTTATGTATGTATTTTTGAGACAGGGTCTTGCTCTGTTGCCCAAGCTAGAGTACGGTGGCTTGATCACTGCAGCCTCGAATTCCTGGGCTCATGCGATCAGGAGTTTGGAGTTTATTCTCAGGGTAATGGTTAAGCTTTGAAAAGGTTTCAAGTAGAGGAATAACAGCATCAGATTTATATTTAAGCAAGTTCATCCTGAAGTATGTGAAAAGATGCCCAACACCATTAGCCACTAGGGAAATCCGAATCAAAACCACAATGAGGGCCAGGCGTGGCGGCTCATGCCTGTAATCCCAGCACTTTGGAGGGTTGAGGCAGGAGGATCACTTGAGGCCAGGAGTGCGAGACCAGCCTGTTCAACATAAGGAGGCCCTTCTGTACAAAACATATTTTAAAAAGAAAAAATAAAAAAACTACAATGAGATACCACCTCACATCAGAAAATAATGAGTGTTAGTGAAGACGTGGAGAAACTAGAACCTTCTCTCATTGCTAATGGGAGTGGAAAGTGATACAGCTGTTGAAAAACTGCCTGGTGGTTCCTCAAAAGGTTAAAGATAGTCGCTGTATATCCCAGCAATTCCACTCCTAGGTATACACCCAAGAGTAGTGAAAACACTCTTCGATGCAAAAATTTGTATGGGAATGTTCATAGCAACGTTAATCATTGTAGCCAAAAAGTAGAGCCAGGTGTGGTCGCTCATGCCTGTAATCCCAGCACTTTGGGAGGCTGAGGCAGGTGGATCACCTGAGGTCAGGAGTTCAAGACCAGCCTGACCAACATGGTGAAACCGTGTCTCTACTAAATATACAAAAAATTAGCTGGCGTGGTGACACATGCCTGTAATCCCAGCTACTTTGGAGGCTAAGGCAGGAGAATTGCTGGATCGCAGGAGGCAGAGGTTGCAGTGAGCCAAGATCACGTCATTGCACTCCAGCCTGGGCAACAAGAGCAAAACTCCGTCTCAAAAAAAAAAATACAAACATACATATATATAGCCCAAAAGTAGAAACAACTCAAATGCCCATTAACTCATGAATGGATAAAAACAAATGTGGTGTGCCCATAAAATGAACTATTATTCAGCAATTTTAAAAAACGAAATAATGATATATGCTATGACATGAATGAACCTCAAAAATACGTTAAGGAGCCAGTCACAAATAGACCCATGGTGGATTCCGTTTATATGAACTGTCCGGAACAGCAGATCCACAGAGAGAAAGAGCAGCGGCGGCCAGAGGCTAACAGGGAGGGATGGGAGTGCTGCTAATGCGCTCAGGGTTCCTTTGGGTGAGAAAAATGTTTTCAAGTTGATTACAGTGCTGGGCCACAAGTCTGTAAATATACTCAAAGTCACTAAAGTGTACACTGCAAATGACTGAACTGAATGCAAATTACCTCTAAATTAAGCTGGTAACAACAAGGGTTTGTCCTGGCTGCAGCGTGCAGAATGGAGGCAGGGCAGAGAGCAGTGAAGGGCTGCTACACGGATGGAGCTGGAAAGGACAGTGGCTGAACTGTGGGAGGGAGTCACAGGACCAGACTACGAGGGGCCGGAGGAGAAGACTACATCCTGTCGTGGGCGCCACAAGTTCTCCTGGGCACCTGGCAATTCTCCAAAGAGGAGAGTGGGAACAAATGAGGTACTCCAATGATCATAAAGCAGCAAAAATGTACTCAAAATCTCCTACATGGAAGACTAAGAGGAACTCAAAAAGTGTGTCGCCCGCATGTGTGGGGAGTGCCCAGGATAAAAGCACACCAAGTTGCCTGCCAGGGGGCTGTGCTGACTGTCCATTCTCCCTCCTAAACGCCAAAGGAAAGGACTCATCATTCAGGTCACACTCAAGATGTTGCAAGATCTGCATGAGGTCACCTGAGGTCAGGAGTTCAAGACCAGCCTGACCAACATGGTGAAACCCTGTCTCTACTAAATATACAAAGAGGCTGAGAAGGCCAATTACTCCCAGAAGTCAAATCTTTAAAGCTGCCTTTCTGGGTTCTCTGCATGTCTGTGAAAACTGTAAGGCTGCTGAAGTGTGCATTTTTCTTGGTTAGAGCAAAGACCCAGTTTTGACTGCATACCACCTCCTTCCAGAACATCTTCACTCATCTCCAGGAGGAGACTGATGAGTGTGGAAAGGCCATGGGACAAATGGACCTGGCCTGCTGGTGGAAAACCAAAAGGCAAGTCTGTGAAGGACCACATTCCAAACCCTGCAGAGACTGGCAGCTGGGACCATGACCACAAGTCATCTTTGCCCCATTAGAAGAAGCAAAGACTGTACTGGGATGGGAATAAGCCTGGCCACACCTCACACATGCCCTCCGACATCTCCTTGATGCTTTCTCCACCTTCAATAGAATTAATGCTGGCCAGCCACTGCCGCCACAGCTAGGGAAGAGGAAAACACCCCTGAGATGCGCCAACAAAGCTGGGAGTTCTGGTACCAGCACACTCAACTGCTAAATGGCAAAACGGAGGCCCAGGTCCATGGAGCAGAGCCGGGGTTGGCATTTAGGGCTCTGCACTTCTCACTCTACCAACTCCTCAAACCCTGACCTTTCCTAAGAACCTGGCTCCACAGGGAAAGAAAAGGTGAGGAATATCAGATGCCTAAGTCTCAACTGGCAGAGAAACCAGAATCACCTCTTTCCTAGAAAAGAAACGGAAACTGTCATCGTTATATGCTGTCATCTCTCTAAAGGAAGGGGGAAAAGCAGGTTAACCAACAAAACATGGGATGATAGGGTTTTAGCTGCAGCTCTCAAATCTTACAGCCCTTTACTTCCTTTATTAACAACATTGTTCTTCATTCATTCGTGCCACAGTAATCAACTATCAGTGTGACCATCAGCTCAGCCAAGCAAGGGCTGACAGGATCCAGGCTGCACTGGGTGCAGAACAGCCCAGGCAGCTGAAGAGCTGAGATGTCGCAAAAACGACCAGGGCCTATCACCATCTCTACTTCCCATGGTCCAGCAAACCAAGGCCAAACACTGTTTCCTAAACTGCAGAGAAATCCAAAATTAAACACTACCAAACAAAAAGCAGACAGGAAGACGAAATAATCTACCTCCTCCTCATGGAAAAATAATCTGAAAGGAGTTTAAAAATACACGAACTAAAATTTTTATAACTATTATCTGCCAGTTTTGAAGACGTCTTCGGGTGCCACAACTGGGGGCGAGAAAGAATAAATATCAACGTATAACTTCTAGAGTGATAATAAATGATGGGACCCCATCTCGGATGGATGGATTTTTTTTCCCTGCTATAGCCAAAAAGCAAGCTGAACTCTATGTACAACAGACAGACTATACAATTAGGGGCATTTAAAAATATAAGACTCCTCTCTGCCTTCTTGCAAAGAATAGAATATATATTTAACAGCACAAAAGAAGATACCACTTGAGCTTCCCCTTTAGCCAACAGGAAGAATTTCCACATATAAAAATTAAAAATTTAAACTTTTAAATCATTCGTGTTTTAAACATAATACAGACTTAGAAATTGTTCAATATTAACCCATAATCCCACCCCTAGCACAAAATCAACCCCAAATCCAGAAGTCACAGGTTTTTGTTCCTAAAAATCCCACAGCACTGAACTTGATCTTCACATCAGGCTGACAGCAAGTAAGAGGCTTGCAATATGAGCAATCCCGAGGGTAGAACAGAAGCACATCAATGCTGCATCTATTATCTACCTGGCGGCACTGGTGTACCTCTGAGGTCAGGTCCATGAGATTCGCCCCCAGACTAGGGCCCCGGAAGGGTGAGTGGCCGCTTCCTCATCTTCCCCCTCGAAGGATGTCAATAAGCACCTGGGAATGACTTTTCTTGGGGAAAGGGTGCTGGTAACAGCTGTCAGGGCCAAGGCAATAGTGAGAAGTTCAGTTCTCTGCTCTTTGGATGAACTGTGTTAAAACATTTATTTTAAAAGACACAATGTTAAAAATATTAGAAAAATGTCTACAAAATCTGGAGGGCTGCCTTTTTTCTCAAAGGGTAAAGCCTGTGGGGTGGTGGGAAAATAATCGAGGGCCCAGAACTACAACTCTGCAGTGAGATAGAGATGCCCTTGAAACTTGTCACATTCTTAAGATGCCTTGCCAAGGTAGCAAAAGCTGAGGGTGACTGTGTGAGCAGGAGAGGAGAGGGTGCCAGCTCCTGTGGGGGAGGTGCTACTGTGCCCCACCCTGTGCCTGAATGTCAGGCTTTAGGGCAGCTGTCACAGGCCCCGGGGGCAATCAGGACTCTGCCTCTGAACCAGAGCTGCTTTCCCGACTAACTTCAATCTGGAGAGATGGTAAGTTATCTAACGGCTCTTCTTTTGGCGAGACTGCTCTTTCTCCTTAATCAGAGCCCCCCACGCCCTTTGCAGCTCGGAGTCATCTTCCTCAGTGCCAGGTGCCCTATGATCTCCTTTCTTTCATACTCTTTTCTTTGGTCTTGGGTGCAGATCCTAAGCGAGTCCATAAATTACCTGTTTGGATGATATGACATTTCAGTTTTGCAGTCAGTGCTAAAAACCAGGGTAGTACCAAGGGGGCAGTGGCACTGTCAACCCCCTGATGTGCAGGAAATGCCAGCAGTCTGTGGCGCCTGCCAGCACGGTGCAGCCTTGGGAAGGTCATCTCATTTCCTGGGGGCAGCCCCTGCCTGCAAACAGAGGGGTCTGGACCCACAGGGGATTCTCACTGTGTGGGGACAGTCATGTACCTCCCTGTCACCGGACAATGGGATCACCTTGAGAGGCTGTTTCCTCATGCTCCTGCCCTTCCCTGCTGAGACACACCCCTGTGTGCCAATCCTTTCTGCTGGGAGTAGGCCGTCCCAGATCTTCCAGCTCCAACATTCTACAAATCAATGGGCCTACTGCACTGCAACGTTTCAGAAATTCTGCCCACTATCCATTCATTTTTGAAATACATTTTATGAAAATTTTGCAAGAGAAATATGTGTTTAGATTTTGTGAACAGCCACATTATAAGGCAATTAAAAGTGGTTTCTGTTTTTGTTTTTTTGAGACAGGACCTTGCTCTGTTGCCCAGGCTGAAGTGCAGTGGTGCAGGCACCCACCACCACACCTGACTAACTTTGTATTTTTAGTAGAGACGGGGTTTCACCACATTGGTCAGGCTGGTCTCAAACTCCTGACCTCAGGTGATCACCCGCCTCGGCCTCCCAAGTGCTGGGATTACGGGCATGAGCCACCGTGCCTGGCCTACAAATTTTATTTATAAGATGATAGAATATGGCAAACAACTATGATAAAATGCTATATGAAAAAAGTAGGATTTGTATGTGGACAAAGATCGGAATAGCTCACATGAAACTAAAACGGATCTGTGCACAACGGAAGGAACCATGAGCACGCTATTTTTTCCATTTTCTAAGCATTCCTTACTGTTGGGATGCTGATGCTGATGATGCTGATGATGACCTTAAAGGAAAGGAATCATCACTTATGTTTGTCATGTGCTGTTTCTTGCCTTCTGATAAGAAAGTATTTCTACAATACACCACTGTCCTCTGCTCTCACCGAACTCCCCATCCCATCAATGTTAAGTGTTACCAACCTGATTTCTTCTCCCGAGTATCGGCGTAGAGGCCTTAATATCTTGCCTAGGAACACCTAGTCTACTATGAACATCAGAAGAGGGCTCTCTCCGAACCACTGGGTACTACCTAAAAGCCTTTTCTGGAGAATATGGTCTTTTTCTAACCGCTGGCATATATCTGAAAACAGAGAGAAAGTACAACAGTCACAGTGTACGTGCTTTACTCTCAGCACCATCTGCCTGAGACCTCTAAAGGATCTGGAACCAGCTCTCCCTAAGTGAGGACACAGGGCCTGACAAGCAGGCTGCTACATATCTTTCCTTTGTCATCAGTCTGGATTTCCCTAGGAAATTCGGACGTCTGGTGCTGTCAGGGGGAAAAATCTTTAATTGATTGCTCCAGAACTAATTTTTGAAAAAAACAATCATTTTTATTGTTTTAGCAGATTCAAGCACACTAAATAATTTACAAAAGTTTCAGCTAACAAAAGAATCCTGCAAGCTCCCTGAGAGCAGAAGGGACAATCTTTGAACATATTAAGTAGTTCCTAATAAAGAGACTGGCAACCAGCAAAAGCAAAGGATAAAAATTTGTTTTTCACTCCATCCCCCCAGAAATCTGCCTGTCCTCTTGCGTTCCCCCTAACAATGACAGCAATGGCCGAAACAGCGTTGTCAGTGAGACCTTGTGCTGAGACTCATCTCTAACTTCTCTCGGAGAGCAGCACCCTGGCATCTGCTCACTCAGGCCCGAGCCCTTCCTTCAGCACTTCCTAGCCCTGAGTTCCTTCTATAGGACTTCCTGTCTTATCCATTCTGTCTCCACTAACCTAGCTCAGGCTCCTGGTACTGATTTAACTCTCCACCCCACCCCACTCCACCCTCCAGTTATCTTTCTAACATAGATCTAAGACCAGGTTACTTCCCATCTAAAAAAATCAGGTTTGCCAACAAAGATGCTGCCCTTCTGAGTCCGCGCTCTAAAGCTACTTTCTCTAAGAGCCTTTCACAGTCTCCTTAGTAGATTGGCAATGGCTGTGTGTCTCCTCCAAAGACTTCTCTCGCTCCTAAGCACCCAGCCTTGGCTCTGACACACAGCAGGTTTGGCTAAACACCTCCCAAATGAGTGTTTGCATGTACAAATGATCTAGTGAAACTCTTAACCATTCAGACAACCACCCAACTTAATTTCCATTATTCTTGTATATAAAGTATGCCAATGTCATACAGAGTAAAATATGGTTGGCGCACCTCAGCCATGGGCTCCACATCTACAGATTCAACCAACTGCGGATTGAATATATTGGGAAAAAAAAATAGACATAAGAGTCCAGCAAAAATATACAGGATAAGAATTTATACTGTATTAGGTATTATAAATAATCTAGAGATGACTTAAAATATATGAGAGGATGTGTGTAGGTACACGCAGGTAATACGTCACTTTAAGGGACTTAGCTCAGTGGATTCTGGTATCTGCAGATTCTGGTATCTGTAAGTGGGTGAGGAGTCCCAGAAACAAACCCCAGAAATACCAAGGAGCGACTGTAATTATCTGGAATAAAATATTTAAAACTAGTTTTGCAAAAGTTGATTACTTTTCATTTCCTGAAATTCCAACACCTAGCCCAAAATCTAGATATGATGACCAGGGCAGCGAAATCAGTTCACAAATGGTGTATTTTACCCAAGAACTCAACTCTGCCCCAGTCTGCTTTCTGGAGCTCAGAATACAGCCCAGAAGCACAGCTACAATACCTGATTTAGTATTGCTGACTGGTGGTCGTGGACGCGAGTGCTGGCGTTTTTCATCTAATAGATGTCGGACATCTGCAAATTTCTCAGGTGGCGGTTTGTTACCAATTCGGTTTTGATATTGCTTGAAGATACACTATCTGCCCTCATGGAGTTCTTGAAAAAGCAGGTAGGACAGGGACAGTTAACCAACTTCAGCTCTGAGACAAGGCCCAAACAACAATCTCATACTTTGGAGGAAACAATTAAGAAATCCAATCTAATATGGCCAACATTCACTCACAAATTCATAAACTTACAATTATTGCTTATGGAAACCATGAACTACCTGCTATAAAGAGCCTGGTCTGGGTGAGCAGGTTTTCAAATGTGGTTTCCACACGTGTGTCCTATCACAGAGCACGAGACTACCAGTTCCCTCTCCTGGGATAGATGTTAAGTAGAGGCCTACAAAGAGACTGGGCTTCGGCTCACCCATGCTGTGATTTGGCTGTAGTCAATACATAGTGTAGTCTACAGTCTCTCTCCTAAAGGGCAGATTCTCTTTCAAAGAGATATGCTACCATACTAGGTAACAGCACGGTTCTGGTGGCATTCTTAACAGAAAGTTCTCTGAAAACTAAATATAAGAGTGTGAACAAGGCCATACAAACAAATCAGCTTGAATGGACTTTTCTCCTCCCTAAAACATACTGAGAACATGTGAGATAGAGCATCCCTAGACTTTAACCTTGAATTGTGGATTTCTGCCTGCACAGAATCTGCTCACCCCTAGTAGTCATCAAAAGACGTGCACATTGAAATAACTAATTCGTTTTGTTCATGAAAACTAGCTAACATTAGAAAGAATGGTAATAGTAAGGCTGGTGAGCCTGTAGGTAATAGTGGTAATTGTGTGATA